GATGGGGAGCTTTTGTCTGGGGCTTTTATTTGCATGTGTCATTTTCTCTTTCTCCTTTGCCTTTGTTAGAGATTGGCGGCAATTGGCTATGACTGGGGTGGCTGGAACAGGAAATATAGTGGGCTAAGGAGCAGAGCTTCCTGCTGCAAGTCTGGTCTCTTTTCCAGGACAGTGTCCTCTCTCCAGCAGGGCTGGAGGTTGGGAGTCCTATTGTAATGGATCTTCCAGGACTGAAGGTCCACAGTGCAGAGCAGGAGCCTAATCACAGAAGTTGCTTCAGTAGGAAAGCTCAGAGGAATTCCTTAGAAAGCTCTTGCTTTCCTTTTCCCTTATTTTCTATTCTGTGATGGGTGCTGGTAGGGTTATTTCTGGATTGAGTGGGTTAGAGAAGGCATTCATGTGTAATAGTGATGACAGTGGTCTAATGTATTTGGTGTATTTCAAGAAACCCCAAAATAAGGTGCCAGAGCTTTCACTGTTCTGGACTGTTCATATGTATTTTCTCATAAAGGTATTTTTCCAGGGGCAGGAGGGTCATTTACATAGGTGACGATTTGGTGTGTGTATATATATCGAGAAGTCTGTGAGCCTCTGAGCCTTGTAAACTACATTTATGGTGACTGTGTGTGTCTGGAACAGATTCCCATGGAAAGCTGAGGCAAATTAAAAGATGTTCTGCAAGGAGCAATCCTGCACTGGCAGGGTGATCTGAAGGGTCTCTCTTAATTTCAGGCAAGGTTCTGTGTTCATGTGATTCTGTACAATTTCAGTGGAATTTATTCTTGTTCTGCAGTGTGTTTTAGGAGAAACTCTTGCCCATTCTTGAGCTGTACACTTCATTTGAAATCAGATCTTTTATTTTTCTTAAGAAGCAAAGAAATTTGGGATGGATAAAGATGCATGGAAGTCAGAATGGTATGAAATGTAAGTGGTTCTGGGTGTACCTTCTCTTCACCTTGTTTGCCATAGCCCCTGCAGACGTCAACAGTGTCTGCTGTGGGAGGAAACAGGCAGAGTTTCCAGGCACTCACTAACAAAATGACATGATTTAAAAAAAATGAATTGTATCAGGCTCTCTATTGAAGAGGACTGAGGTGTAAAAACAATCCCTGCAGTCCCTATTGAGAGCAAGATTTGGCTCCTACAAACCAACAAAATGCCAGACAAAACTGAACTGTATTGTGCTGTAACTTTTTTTTGTGTAAGATGTTGAATTGTGCCCTTTGTGTTCATCCCCCACTGCCTGCTCCCCCCCCATTGGTCAGTTAGCATGCAATATCCCAGACAGGGTTTTAATTAGGTAGGGAGGAAATTAGATATTTGCATATTTGAGTTGCAGGTATTTTTCTGAGCTTATTTCTAAGAAATGTTGTATTAGACTGTATTGTCATATTTTGATTGCTTTTTCAAATTTGTAATTTGTTTTGGCAAAGAAAAATGTTAACTAGCTTGTTAATTGATTTGGCTGGAAACAAAAGGAGAAGAGTCTAGTAGAGACATGACAAAGCAGTTTGCATGTTGCAGATGTGGGGAAATGCAGTTTATAGTTGAATAGAATATTTTCATCTTGGTGTAGCTGTGTTGTCAGTGCTATAGATTATTCCCAGAATAGCATGCATTTCAGGTTTAAGGTTTGTTGTTTTTATTGAATTTTTCTTCATCACCTAAACCTTGGCATGATTATCAATCTTACTTTATAATTTGTTCTAACAAGTAAATGAAGACAGCATGAGCCATATGAATTGGATGCAATGTCTTGTCTCTCCCTGCTATGTTTCACTTGTCTGAAATAGGACAACTAACAGTTTAACAGATCATATCTGCGCTCTTTCTGCTTTACTGAAAGTCTTTGAAGCTTTACTGTTTGGCAGGTACTTTTCCTCTCTGCAGAGCCCTTGCATGATCTGGCCATTGGTTCTCAGCATCAAGGGGATACATTGCTGCTATTCCCTTTGGGCAGAACACCAATATTGGGCCCGAAACATTAAATGTTTGATGTACATCATCATCACATTACATGTAAATACAAGAGAGACAGCACTAATTGTATTATACTTCCTGATGATAAAACCATTTTTTCAAAATGTTGTGTAACAAGTCCATCTACAGTTTCATGAACAACTGAAGAAACTAATACTGAAGATCATTGCATCATAGGAAAACAGGGCTGAAACAGACCTCACTAGGTCATCTAGTTCAGCCCCTTCTCAATTCAGGATCATCCCTGACTAAACCATCCCAGCCAGGTGTCTGTCTTTAACCGACTTTGGAAAGTTTCCAAGCATGGAGAGTCCATAACTTCTCTAGGTAGCCTATTCCAGTGCCAGAAAGTTCCTCCAAAAATACAGCATAAATTTGCTCCTGCTTGGGGCGCTTACCTCTGGACTTCTGTCTCCATTCCACGGTGAACCTAATTTAAAGCCCTCCTAGGTTAGCAAACCTGCTGTGAGATGACCCCCCTTGCCCTCTTCCCAGCAGTCCATCTTCCAGGACCACCACCTGTAGTTGAAGAAGCCAAAGCCAAGATGTCTGGTGGCTGTTGTTTGTATACTGTGTTGCAAATGGGTTACCATAGAGACAAATTGCATATAATTCACATGTGGCCTTTATTTTAGTTGATTTATAAAAAACAATGATTAGTGCTTCTTTGTAGTTTTACAGTAACTTAGTTTTATAATCCTACACATGGCAGCTACATAATATAATTTCCCCCTGCCAGGTTCACTTTAAGATGGAAAACAATACTAATTAAACTTATTTTCTCTCTTTGGACAAAAGATTTTTTTCAAGCTTTGTCCATGGACAATGGCAGGTTCAGTTAGGTTGGGCCAGGTAATTGATAATTAATTTGTTCAACAAATGTCAGATGTGTTCATTCACGATTTGTGCGTGAACAGATTGCAGAAGTTATGCATCAGATATTCTCAGAAGTTTCAAACAATTATTAATCACTTGCAAGTTTTTTTTAGTTGGTTTGACTGAACACAAAGGACAGATGATGTACTGCTTGCTTTCCAACTGGATGTGTGGAGTTCTTGGCATCTGCAACTTGCTAGCATAAATTTGAATGGTTTTTTCTACAAAAATATAACACTTGTTTAATATTAACTGTTTGTAAAATTTGCTGTAACTTTGCTTGCTAAAGTATCTGAAGAAAATGAATACTGTTTGAGAACACCATGGTTTGGATTTTAGGTTTTTCCGTATTTGCCAGCTTTAAGTAGTGGCTACTTGAGCTACATATGGAATGAAATTTTGGTTCTTTTGTTGTTTGCCTTTTGATATATGAAACAAGATCACAGTAGAAGAAAATACAAGCCATATATAATATTAGAGCTGGAAAAATAGCTTCCAGTCACTAATTGAGAATCTATATGTAGCTGTATTAAACAAAAGGAGGGAGAAGATGGCTCTGCCTGAACTGTGGCAGAATTCTACATTTTATTACTGTTTTGCAGGCACAGTAAAATGTATCTAGACTTCTTTACATTAGTTTTCAGGCAGTTAAAATAATGGAAGATTTTGTTTTGGTCAGAAAAGGGGGTTTAGTATAAGTTGGATCAACCTCCATGAATGCATTCAAAGTAGGAACCATTTAAAAATGGCATCTTTTGGCACTCCACATCTGTGTCCCCACCTAGATCCTCAGCTGGGGTGCACTGTTACAGCTCCAGTAAAGTCCATGGAACAAATTGTACCAGTTGAGGATTGCATCTATTACTTGCCTGTACTAACAATATATAGAGGAGCTGCTATTTTTATCTAGGTTAAGCTTTCATTGACCAAAACAAAAGATGGAAAAATGAAGCGCAGAGTTTTTAGTCCTTGTTCTTTTAACGTTAGAACAGTGGGCTATTGTCTATACAGTGTTTCCACATACACATCTTGAAGTCTGACAGTACGTGTTCTGGGAACAAGCAGTGTAGTAAGCCAGGTCAAATAGTTAAGTTCTAAAGTTTGTACTAATGGAAGGTTACAGCAGTTAAGTGCCACGAAGTGATATAATGTACATTAATTCTTCGTAGACAGTGCAAAATAAGGTCAAAGATTTTACAAAGGATCCAGACAAGTCTTACGGTGCTATAAATGAGCCTATAGGATGGGAGGGTGCATTCTGTTGTATGCTCTGGTTGGCAGTAGACTGTTCTCAACTTCCATAACCTTGCCATTTACCTCTGTGTCAATCAGATAACTAAGAACTGAGGTATTTCCTCAGTTCAACAAGGTACCTGGTGCATACAAGTAGCATTACTGAAGTAGGAGGGCTTGTGTAAGTACTTTGCTGAGATGGGAGTAATGAGGTCTCTTTGGAAAAATTAAGGGAAGTTTTAAACAGTATGGGTATGGGCAAAGTTGACTTAAAATTTTATATATAAAACTCTAATTAAAAACATTAAGTGTAAAACAAGAGCGTTGTAGTTAAAATCAGTTGCATGTTCTGCTTTTGTATACAAGAGTTTGCCAAATAGTTTGTGTTTTATTTAATGTCATGGATTGTGGAAGTGATCTCTTAAATGATGCCAGCTGGAAATGAAAGTTACATTTAGCTGGGTTTGTAACAAATCTGTACTATGAAAAAGATGCTGCTAATCTTCTGACTGGATTTTCAGAGCTCCTTAGTAGAACTTCCACTCCCATTTTAAGGAAATCAAATACTTTAGCATGTATGTAAACTAGGCCACTAGTTTTAAAAGTAAATACTTCTTTTTAAAAAGGAATATTTTCCTTGCATTTCTATTTAAAAAAAAAAAAAAAATTTTTTTTTAAAAAAAAATGCAAGGAAAAATTTCCTTTTTAAAAAAAAGAATTTTTTTTTAAAAAAAAATGCAAGGAAAAATTTCCTTTTTAAAAAAAAGAATTTTTTTTTAAAAAAAAATTCTTTTTTTTAAAAAGGAATATTTTCCTTGCATTTCTATTTAAAAAAAAAAAAAAAAGTCTTATTTGAAATAAGGCCTGATGGGCTACTTTTAATAATGTACTTTTTTTTCCCATTCTTTTAGAGAGAGGCTAACAGTTGGATGCTATCAACTAGCTCAGCTGGAAGCTGCTATTAAACAGTGCAATGCATCTGTCCACATAGAGGTGAAGAACAGAGGCTGGCTGTGATTCTACAGTTCACTGACTGCAGGCTTTGGGCTACAATGTTCTCTCCCTTCTCTTTCAAATCTCTCTGCTCTTTGTTCGAAAAGAATGGAAAATATTTTTGTTAACAGAACAACGTCTCTTCCAGTTTTTCTCATGGTCCTGTTTAAAAAAAAAAAAAAAAAAAGTAGTATGTTTGAGGCAACTCCTGGAACTAGCTGAGCAGAAAGAGGGGATTTCGTTGCTGGTCAACAGAAATAGAGCATTGGTTGTCCGAATTTCCTTAAGAATGTGTCTGAGTTCATGATGCAATGTTAAAAGGTGCCTTTGAGATACAACTTGGCATACAAATTCTGTTAAACTAGTTGTTTAAAGATGTAAATTTAAAAAAAAAATGAGTTGATACATTTTCATATTTCTAGGACCTGTATGTCACTGAAACTAGTACAAAGGACCAGAGCATAAGTTTAACTCCTTTTCCTTATAAAGAACAAGATCACATGTATGGTGCAAGACCTAAATGGAGACCATAGGCCCAACGTGTAAAACACCAGTGTTACAGGTTAATATTTTATGTCAAAGCCATTCTACTTGCTACCTATTACACATTATTAGAAGACAACCTTTCATTTTAGCTGTCTGCTCTCACACTTAACCAAATTACCTTTTTTCCCCATGAATGCTTTGAACTTTCCCCCTTAGGATCCTATCTTCAGCTACAGTAAAGTGGTAATCTCTTGTGCTGTTATATCATGTAGGCAAAATTAAAGAGGGGATAAAGGATAGAAAAACAAGATGTGGTCAGTCTTAAAATGATCTATTCTTTCTCAATTCTGAATTGTATTAATGAATTGTCCAGAATATTAAGCCTGTCATTTCTTGTGTGCGCTAGCCTCAGACTGATGCAGATCTTATCCCCTATTTCACTCACAATTGATTATCAGATTTTTTTCACATTCAATTTCAGATGCATAGGTTGATGGTTAAGCAGGCCTATTGGTAAGAGCATGCATGCTGGCTATTAATACATAGCAGCTGGTGGGTGGTAGACCCACCTTCCAGTAGTGTGTGGGAACTTTTGCCTGTGCAAGAGAAATGGGTTTTAATTACTTACCCTGTGACTTCCTAAGTCTTACTAGGCATCCAGTGCAGTGCCTAGCATGGTGGTAATTTGGGTGGTCTTTTAATGATATTTTCCTGGAAAAGTCTTCCCTCTTCCAGTTCATCTTAATGACACAAATTCTTTTAACTTTGCAGTTTACCTTCAGATGATTTGCCTTACTGCCCTTTACTTAATGTCTTTGAATATCAGGTGAGAACTTTCTGAAAGTAATTTTGAATGAAATTTCTCTAAAACCACTTAATTTAAACACTAGGTGTTACTTTCGGCCATTAAAGCTACCTCTGTATTTGTTTTTTGTATAGAGATGACAGATGCAATGTGTAATTGTATCAGTTATTTTGATATTTTAATTCTTAAATGGTTTTGTAAAATCTTTATTGGAAGAATATATTTATTAAGAGTATGTAAATAAACTACTGTAAATTCTAAGCTGCTTAATATACCATCTTTCTTTAACTAAAGTATATCTAGTCACCAGCATGAGATGCATTCCCTAAAAGCTTTAAATATTTAAAGTCTATTTGACTTTGAGAGAAGTCCCCACTAAACTGGGATCTGAATTCAAATAAGTGACAGAGCTTTATTTTTTCAAAACAAGTAAATGTCTCATTCTGTTTTTTATACTGTACACTGAAAAACTTTATTCTTATATTTTTGTTGTCAGTATTCTCAATCCTGTGTGTACCTCCCGTTGTCTTGGCAGCTGCAAACTTAAGCTATCAGATTTGGAAGTTTATAAAACTGAAATGGCATAATTACCTGATTGTGCATAACACTAAATTGGTGCCTTTTTGCAATACTTCTTATTGCAGTGGTACTTGAAGTTTTCCTTCCTTCCTTCCCTCCCACTCTCCCTTCATTATCCCCCAACCTATTTACTAAAGCTAATTTGGTACAGTTCAAGTGTTGTTAGGAATTGTTCCTAGCCACTTGACCTAAACCTGCTACCACATTTTTAGCATTAAATTTAATAAACTTTTATATAGCTGTAGAAGAAAGGTAGATCCACTGAAGACCATAGAACATGTCTGAAGTAATATTTAGTATTAATGTAACATTTTGATCTTCTAACAGAAGCCTGGAGCCTGATGGCAGCAATTCACATGGCAGCCTATAATCTTGCAGTACAATGTGGGGATTATGAATGTGTGAGGGAATGGTTTTCTGCTCCCTGCCAGTCTAATAGAATGTAACCAAAGCAGCTTGCTGCCCCTTGCCTGGGGCAGGGAATGCAGGAGCAAAGCATCCTGGGATGTTAAAGGGCTGTGCTCCATCTTCTTTCAGAAGGGAAAGTGTTCAGACAGTTGCTGTTGCACAAGCGAGTGATTTAACCATTTTTGTTCCCAAAGAAAAATCCTGAACATCTGTACACGCAAAGTTTCTACTTGGACAGAAGCAACACTCCCCGTGAAAGCTGAATGTCTGTGTACAGCCACAAGCTCCACTACAGTACCATCCTGGCTTTTATTTTCTTTTTCTTTTACTAAGTTAAGACTAGCTAAAGAAACTTAATGTGCTTTTATGGGAGACACTATTGTATGTCATGTTAAAAGTAACTACCAAGCAGTTAAACTGTACCATGAAAGAAGGACACAACTGCAATCCTGTGGTGCAAGGATTTCCAAAAGGTACCTTTTAATGTGTTTGCATCAGCAGCAAGCATTAAGTGCTAACTTTGGCACCAAAAGTTAGATGTGCAGCACTACACATTAGACACCAAGTCATCCCAACCAATATTCTTTATCCATCTGAATAGAGAAAATGAACCAAAACATAGTACTATGAGTATTTGTGAATCAAATACAGCTTGTATTATAGCACAATCTAGCTTGCAGTATTAGAAAAATACAGTTACTAATTTAAATAGATAAATGCTTTCATTACCTACTAGCATCAGTCTAAAAATATGAGAATACACACTTGGTTTGTTGTGTGTTTTACTTTTACAAATGTTAGCTCAACAGTTGTAACAAAACTGCTGTAAAGAAAGCACCCCTCTGCATTTGTCAAAGTATTTGGAGCCAAAATGATTTTCAAATGCTAAAAAGTCACAGCTATGTTATGTTCAGAAACTCCATTCAAAATCTAATGAAATATCACTGTTGCATAAGTATACTGTAGCAGAGGTAAAAGCTTAGAAGCTCACGTACAGTGGTAAATCCAGTGTCCCACTCAGCCTATGAACTCCAAGATTGTCTCTCTACTTCAATAACTGCCACTTTCACATCAGCAGGTAAAATACTCTGCTGACTATATAAAAACTGTTATAAAAAGGCAATCATAAAAGATTAAGTATTGGCAGGCATGTCAGCTTTATAATAAAAAAAATAGCCATTGTATCTATTTAAATAAGGCTTCTTGTTACAGATTGTTCCAGTTACTGAAGAGAAAGAGGCCAGAAAAAACAACTGCCTATTACCCCAAACCCCTACCCTCCTGTCCCAGAAACACATTCTAATAAAAAAAAATACTCAATGTGCAAATTGGCAAAACAAACATGGGGGGAGCTCCTGAAATGATATGCCCAATCAGTTTAGTTTCTCTTGCAATACCAATCCTCAAGATCTTTAAAAAAAAACAAACTAGAACTTTAAAGTTCTGAAATACACAAAAAACCCTTCATCTTTATAGTCTTTCCAAAACAAATATATACAGCACATTAATAATATGCAATATGCAAAAGCTTTGTGTTGCTTTTGGCAACTTCTATGCTCTCCCCAACTCTATTCACATGTGTACCTCTATTAACACACAATTACATCACTAAGCCTGTTAGTTCGAAAGGGGACTCAAATGGGCTAAAATTTGTAAATCTTTGTATATGGGCTCCATTCATTTGATTCTGGGTTATACACTTCAACAGTATTCAGGAATTCATTGCCATCAAATCCTCCAACTGCATAAATGGTATTTGCAACAGTTGTAATGCCAGCATTGCTTCTTGGAGTAGTCATATTTCCCATCATCTTCCATTCGTTTTTAGAAGGATCATACATCTCCATACAGCTGACAGCATGAGAACCATCAAAGCCTCCACCAACAAAAAGTTTTCCTATTAAAAGGAAGTGTGATTGAAATGTAACTGTGAAAATGTTGAGAGAGAGCACACTGCATAAAAATACTACTTCTAGGCATACATTTGAGTTCTTTTATAGTAAAAAAATGTTGATAGGAAGGGAATTTAAAAGAAATCTCTCATCACTGCAAAGTTCTGTACTTCTGTGGGTATCAAGCTATTGCTTTCTTGGGCATTAGGACTGTCTATTCTTATTTCTGAATTATTTCCATAAAAATCTTTTTTCTAGACAGTTATTCTCAACCTTTTCAGAGCCAGGGCACCCTACCTACACTTTTTTTTTTTTTCTTGAATGTGGCAGCCTCCTGGACTGAGAACCACTACTGGTGCTGCCTTCAGATACAAATGCCCTGCCCCACATGCCAGCTGCAGATAATCCAAGTTATGACGTGCTTGCTCCTCCTGCCTTATGTTATGCAACCCTACCTGGTATAGCACCCCCTACACTCACAGAAACAAGCAGATGGGACAGTCCCACCTGTGCCTGTTTCCAGAAGCATGGGAAGCACTGCACAGCATGAGGCAGCTTTGTTGTCTTTTAGGCTGATTAGAGAGCCTTAATGCAAGGGGAATGCATGGGCAGTTTTACCTGGCCACTGCCACAGTGGCAGCTCAAGAAGGCCTCAGGGCACCCTGGTTGAGAACCACTGCTCTACATGCTACACAGTTATGTTTTAGAAACATGAAAAAAGGGTAAAAAAAAAAAAAAAATCAGCACAGAAAATTCTGATGGTGCATATTCAGTGAAGGCCACAAGTCAAAGCCAGAAAGCATCAGCAAGGACAGATCCACTAACAGTTATTTTGCTTTGCAATTTACCTTGTTCTATTAAAAGTCTGCCTGTCACAAGTTAGACTTAATTTCTTAGGCAAACTTTGT